TGCGCCCGCCGGCCTCGGAGAGCTTGAAGAGCGGGATGCTGCTGACGGGCACGGCCGACACGGGCTGGCTGAAGAGCCCCGGGTTGGAGGCCCACTCGCGCAGGGCCTTCTGGAGGCGGCGGACGTGGAGGGGCTTGGTGGCCATGCCCACCAGCGCCATGATCTCCAGGAACTCCTCCTCGCCCGCCTCGCAGAGCTGCTGCACGTCGTCCCCCCCTTGCTGGATGAAGGTCTCGTAGTAGCCCAGCAGGTTGGCACGCTGCAGCACCCGGTACAGCTGCAGCTCCCCCAGCGTGCGGGGCAGGGCCATGGCGAGCCTGCGGTGCACGGACAGACAGACGGACTCACCACGGGGATGGATGGACATGTGGGAGACACCCCCTCCCCACCCTTTTGCCTGGGGATGCAGGGCAGAGTGGGGGCACGTGGGGGGTACAGGGTGGGGGGAGCACCCCAGGGGTATGGGGGGCGGGGGCATCCCAGGGGTACGAGGCAGAGGGAAGCACCCTGGCGGCACGGGGTGACAGGGGGTGTGCCAGTGTCCCCAAACCCCACAGGGTGCCCAGTCCCACCCATGTGCTCCGGGCTGGGACAATTCCCACAGCCACAGCTCCCCAGGCACAGCACAGCCGTGACTGGGGACCCCCTCAGCCCACCCCTTACCCTGGGCCGTGCCCAGCCCGCTCTGTCCCAGCCAGCAGCCCCCGCCCCCTCCATTCAGGGTCCCCGTGTAGGGTCAGACACGCGCGTGGGGCTTCCCCAGCCACCCAGCCCCGGCAGTGATGTGCCAGTGCCCCGGTCCCAGCACGGCCCCGTGCCCTGCCCTGCCCGGTGTCCCGTTCCCCCCGGTCCCATCGGGGCCGTCCTTCCCCGGTGCCACGACCCCCCCACGGTCTCCCCCTCCCCTCCCGGGTCCCACCGGGGTCACCCTGCCCCAGGACCCCCTACCCTGCCCAGTGTCCCGTCCCCCCGCGTTCCCACCGGTCCCATCCTCCCCCGGTGCCCCCCGCCCTGCTCGGTGCCCCGTGATGTCCCGGCCCCCCGCGATTCTCCCCTCACCTCTCAGTCCCACCGGGGCCATCCTTTTCCCAGGCTCCCCACCCTGCCCGATGACCGACCCCCCCCCGGTCCCCTCCGGGCCACCCTCCCCCCGGTGACCCCCGGGACCCTCCCGACCCCTCCCGCCGCCCCCCGTTCGCTCACCGCCGCCTGGAACCGCCCTCCGGCCGCTCCGCCCGCCCCGCCGGGCGCCCGGGGAGGGGCGGGGGGGTCCGGGGCCGGTTCGCGCGGGGGCTCGGGGGGTGCCGGGGCTCGGGGGGTCCCGCGGCCGGGCCGGGCGCGCTCCCTCCGCCGCGCCGTGCCGCTCTGCGCGCCGCCCACACGGGCGGGACCGTGAAATAGCAGCGGCCCCGGCTGCGCCGCGCGTGGGAGGCCCCGGGGGCGGATCCCGCGGCTGCCGCCCCCGCCGAGCGCGGGGGGGGAAGGGGGCACCGGCGGGGGCGGCCGCACCGGGTCCCCCCCCCTTCCATCCCCTCCGGCACCGGGAGCTGCTCACGGCGGCACCGGGGGGTCCCGCGGCTCCGTCAGGGAGCGGGGAGGACACGCGTGGATCGGAGTGGGGGCAGCCGTGGAAGAGGCAGGACCCCCCCCCCCCGCCGGTGCGCGGTGCTGGCAGGAGCACCCTGAGCCCTGGACCCTCGTGGTCACGGGTGGGTGCAGCCTCCCCCCATCCCCGGGGTCTCCCGGGCAGCAGCATCCCCGGCGCCGGTGACGAGCCGGGCGGGAGCGGGGATGCTGCGGGCACCGGCCCCGCTGTCCCGGGAGCCCCTGCCCAGGGCTGGCACTCGGTGTCACCGGCACACCCCGCCTGTCACCAGTGGGCTCCGGACTCAGGACCGCCAGGGCAGCGGCAGGGGGAGCGCGGGGTCGCTCGGGTGGGCTGGGGGATGCTGGGCGATGCTGAATCCCCCCGCCCGCTGCACCGGGAGGGAGGGATGGGGGGGGTCACGGCCCGCACCCCAGCCCCGGCCCTATGTGGCTCAGCGCTATTTATACCGCGGCCGGCGCCTGGCGTGGGGCCAGAGCCGCCCCCGCGCGATCCTGCCCGGGGGGGCCGTGCCGGAGGCCGTGGGGGGGCCGGGGCACATCCCCGGGGCTGGTGGCGGGGGGGATACCGGGAGGTTCCGCACGGGCACGGTGCCCATCGCGGGGGTCCTGCCCCAGCCCCCCCTCCGCTCCCCACTCTCCCCACTGCTCCCCTCCCACTCCCCCCCAGCCCCGGCGTCCGGCGCGGCGGGGCCGTTCCCAGCCCCGGCGCTGCCCCCGGCTGACGCACATCCTCCGCCCACGGCCCCGCCGCTTCCCGGCTCCGCCGCCCACGGGCCCAGCAGGGGGAGCGGGGGGGGGGGCCGCCCGAGCCCGCTCCCCCCCCGCGCTGCCCGCCCACGGGCGGCCGCCGCCCCGCGGGGAGGGACCCACGCGGAAGGCGGACCCGCTCCCCGGTGCCGGCAGCGGGGCCGCCCGTGGGGTGCGGGACCCCCCCGCGGTCCCTCCCCCGCCCCGCAGGGTCCCCCCAGCCCGGCCGGGCGAGGGGCGAGATCTGCGAGCCCCCCACGCGCGACCCATTGGCACCAACGTGGGTAGGCCGCGCCCCGATTGGCCGGGGCAGTTGTCAATCAGGGCGATCCGTGTCGGTCAGGGCCGTTACCAGGGCGGGGCGCAGCTCTGACTTAAATGGCGCTCCAGGTTGGTCACCGTGGCAACCGGGGGCGGGAGGGCGTCTGCTTCCTGCCGATAGGCTGAGAGCCTGTCAATCAATCCGGCGTGGACCGGGGGGCGGGAGCAAGACCCTAAGAGCCTTTTGATAGGTCGATTCAGCTGTCACTCGGCGGTAACGCGCTGCTCCCATTGGCTGTCGCTGCCCCTCGGCGGCGGAAGCGGAAGTTCTGGCGCGGCGGCGGCGGGAGGGATGAAAGCGGTCCCGGCGCGGCGGCAGCTTCGGCGGCTCCCGGTGCTGCTGTTGTTGTTTCTGCCGTCCCTGCCCTTTGCAGCTGCAGGTGCGGGGGGCGGCGGCGCCACCGGGCAAGGAGCGGGTGGTGGCGGCGCGATGGCGGGGCGTGGGGCGGCCACAGCTCCCGGGGCTGCGGGGCGATGGAGCTCAGTGCCCGCTTATGGAGCTCCGTGCCCTCAGCGAGCCCCCTGAGTGCTCCCCAGGGCCTCCAGCCTAGGGGTCGGTGCGTCCCGGTGGGACCGCGGGATTCGGGAGCCCCTTTTCCCTGGGGGGCGGGCAGTTTGTGCTGGAGGCACTCTTGTATCCGTTTCCGGGGGCTGACCCTCTTCCCCCGTGCCTTCCAGGCGCCAAGGACCCGGTGATCCAGCTCCGGGACGGCCACGAGTCCCAGTACAAGGAGTCCCAGCGCTTCTGCTACACCAACACCGGCGTCCCGCAATGGCACGACATCTGGACGAGGACACAGGTGAGGGGGGGAGCGGCAGGAGGAGGGGGCAGGTCTTCCCTGCCCCGACCCCTCTGCCCACGCCCCCCCCCGCGCCCCCTTTCCTCGGGCAGATCCGCATCATCAGCAGCCGCATGATCCGGGTGACCCAGGTGGACAGCGAGGAGGAGCTGGAGAGGTTCAGCGTGTGGAACGTGCTGTTCTCCTTCCTGCGGGGCAAGCTCAACGACACCAGCATCGACGTGGACCTCTACAGCAAGAAAACCTGCGTC